CGTTCCACGTGGCCCGGATGGCCGGCGGGACCTGCTTCCCCGGCTTGCGCAGGAACGCCATGAGGTCCCTGAGTTTCGGGTCCTTGAAGCGGTTGGACGCCTGGAGCTCGAAGCACAGCGGCGTGTTGCAGAAGAGCTTCATCACTGCCTGGTACTCTGGTGCGAGGTTGATGCCCGCCGCCGCCAGTTCCTCGAAGCTGGAGATGAGCGACACCTTGCCTCCCGTCGGCTTCAGCTGCAGGAAGTCCCCCAGGTGGATCACGATGGGCATCCGGCCGAAGGCGCCGCCGACCTGGTCGTACTCCCGCTCCTCCGCGCCCCACTCGGCCTTGCGTCCCAGGTAGGACCGGGACCCGCACTGGGACCTTGCGTCCCGGACTGCGCCACTGGGACCTTCGGCGGAGCTCCCTGTGGGGCCACGAAACGTGTGAGGGGTGTGCCGAAATGGGTGTGCGGGACGCATGCGGACGGCAGCACTGGGGCCTTCGGTGGAGCTCCCTGTGGGGCCACGAAACGTGTGAGGGGTGTGCCGAAATGGGTGTGCGGGACGCATGCGGACGGCAGCCATGGGGCCTTCGGTGGAGCTCCCTATGGGGCCACGAAACGTGTGAGGGGTGTGCCGAAATGGGTGTGCGGGACGCATGCGGACGGCATCACTGGGGCCTTCGGTGGAGCTCCCTATGGGGCCACGAAACGTGTGAGGGGTGTGCCGACATGGGTGTGCGGGACGCATGCGGACGGCAGCCATGAGCCTTCGGTGGAGCTCCCTATGGGGCCACGAAACGTGTGAGGGGTGTGCCGAAATGGGTGTGCGGGACGCATGCGGACGGCAGCCATGGGGCCTTCGGTGGAGCTCCCTGTGGGGCCACGAAACGTGTGAGGGGTGTGCCGAAATGGGTGTGCGGGACGCATGCGGACGGCAGCCATGGGGCCTTCGGTGGAGCTCCCTATGGGGCCACGAAACGTGTGAGGGGTGTGCCGAAATGGGTGTGCGGGACGCATGCGGACGGCAGCACTGGGGCCTTCGGTGGAGCTCCCTGTGGGGCCACGAAACGTGTGAGGGGTGTGCCGAAATGGGTGTGCGGGACGCATGCGGACGGCAGCCATGGGGCCTTCGGTGGAGCTCCCTATGGGGCCACGAAACGTGTGAGGGGTGTGCCGAAATGGGTGTAGGGGACGCATGCGGGCGGCAGCCCTCGGGCCTTCGGTGGAGCTCCCTATGGGGCCACGAAACGTGTGAGGGGTGTGCCGAAGTGGGTGATGACGATGACGATGACGACGATGACAATGACGATGATGATGATGATGATGATGATGACGATGATGATGATGATGATGATGATGATGATGATGATGATGATGATGGGAGGAGGGAGGAGGGGGAGGAGAGAGGAGGAGGAGGAGGTGGGACGCGGGGCGCTGTCTCTTCAAAACGAGGACCCAACACCACAGGATGGTTGGGAAAAAACAATATGTGTTCTCCGTGCCCCCGCCCCCCCATTCTCCACTCCTCCACCTCCTTGTTGTAGGTATTCATAAAATCTCGAGGTGCCGTGGTATATCCCATCTGTGATCCCGTAATAGAACGAATATCTAAAGTGTCATAGGACGTCTCTATGGTCATCGTCTGCTGGCGCACACTGGCGACAGCGCATGGTGCGTCCTCGGGGCAAGCTTGCTCTTCTGCCTGCACTTCAAGTCGGTGTCTCTCTGTAGCGGCAAAGGCGTCAGTGCAATCGTAGTTGCTCACGATGGGGCTGTTCTCTTTACACTCAGCCCTCCACTTGTTACACATGATGATTGTGGTGCTGCTCTCTCTGCTACGGTGTGCTATCCCCCCCTGCGCCCATGTAGGTGCCCATGCGCCAGTGGTTCTGGAGGGGGTCCCAGAGTGCCAGGCCATGGAGAAGGCGTCGTAACAATGCATTATGCGGTTGCCACAAATGTTGTTTTTGCCGTTTGCTTTGTCACTCGAGAAGCTCAGGGACCTGTAGCTGCCCAGGGGCATGGCTTGGCACCTGCGGATGTGAACAGGATAATCCTGCAGCACCTTCTCAAACACGTATGTCTCAGCACTCAGCTGCTCTTCAATGGCGAGGCCCCGTCGGCGGCAGGCGCTCGCGCTGGTCGACACGGGAGACGACGGCAGAATTGTCAAACAGAATTGTCTAACAGACTGTCGGCTCCCAAGCCCTGCCCGCACCTCCCGACGGAACTGCAGCATGTCTCCCACCGGCGGTGCCTCTGGTGGTCTGGCGGCTCCATCTGGTCCGAGAGCCCCGAGCCCCTCTCCCCTGGTCCATCCCATCAACAGCCTCCTGCCCACCCTATATGTGTACTCCGTAGTAAACTTCTCCATCTCCTCCTCCTCCTCCTCAATGTTTTGAGCTTGTCTGTAATTCTTGTGCGCAATCATCTCGCTCAACTGATTTGGAGACTCAAGGTTGACATCTGGCTGCAGGAGTAACCATACTGCTTCCGTGGGTAGGCCCCAACTTGGATAAGCACGTCTTTTTGCCGCACGTCGGCAGTACCGTAGCATAGCACGTCGATCCTCTTGTACAAGGTGGAGAAGATCAGCATCTACATAGGCGAGCTCGGAATCCTCACAGTCGAACCTATAGTGACTGAACTCGTCTTTCCAGTTTATTTTTACACCTGCTAATCCTCCATCCTTGGCCGCCCTCCCCAACTCCTCCTCCCGCGTTTTGTTATTCCAATTGGTTCTGGGACTGTAGTGAAACCGACGTTTTGGCCCCCTGCCGTTGCCCTGGTAGAGCACTCGTAGTTGATGCAGATCCGAATAGCGTTTCTCCACGTATGCTTCCCAAATCTGATTTGCTAAATCCGCGCTCTCGTCCGAAGGAGGTTTTGCTTTCTTATTTTTTATACACGCTGTGATCTCCTTAAGGTCCTCGCAAACCTTAAAAAACTCCGCCTCTCCCTTGCTGTCCACCATCTGCTCCCTCATCTCCCTCCTCTTGCTCAGCATGTGCATGCGGCACTCGCGCATGTGCTCATACATGTCGTCCACATACAGGGGTTGCTCCGGAAAGGTCTCGAGTAAGGCCTGGCGGACACACAGACCGAAGATGCCCCAGTATGCGTCCGGTGGTTTTTGTAGACGGCCTTTCTGGAAAGAGTCTTCCCCAACTTCGGATATATTCTGGCCGATATGATCGAAGAGCTCTCTTCTTTTGTAGCATTTTCGTCAGGCATATGATAAGAGCGCTTCGGTCTGGTCTAGCTTCTCGATGTCTCTGAGACCGATGATGGAAGAAGCTGATGTATAACTCGAATCCAACAGGGACGTGATCTCTGTGGCCGCGAGCTTTGATAGTTTGCAGTTTTTCCAGCAGGTGTAAGTGCTGTGCAATGGCGTAGCTGAAGTCGTGCATTTACTGCGAAAGCAATGTGGTCGATGCGGTTTTGACCGCCGGTGGGCCGAAGAAGGTGTCATTCACTCTGCAACTCGCCGATGCTATGAATAACTGGTTGCGCTCACCAAAAATCTCGGAACTCGAGACCGTTCTGATTTTCAAGCTTAGGACGATGGCCGCCGAGGCTGATACTCTTAGTTGTCTGGACGCTGCCGTCTCGATCTCGGGAAATTCCAAAATCTGAGTTGACGTCGCCGCCGACAATAATGTTGGTCCTGACTCCCAGCTTGTCAATCTGTTCGTCCAGCCACTTAGTAATTTTGCGAGCAATTTCACCCCAAAGATAGCCGTGTCGAGATTTTTTGTCTGCAGTCGGATGCCCCCTACTCTACCTTGAAGCTCTGCGGGGGGGTTCATCACCGTGTGGAGGGATTGCGTGGGCAGGTTACTTTTGACAAGAAAGCTGACCCCGCACGCCGAGCTAGTCAGCCGCCCCTTTTTGTAGCCAAGCTGGACTCCCCAATGGTGTCCGAAATGGTGCTGCTGGGCTGGCTGATCATCGAGGGCGCGATTACTAGCACCAGATAAGATAATGACGTCCCAGTCCTTCAGCGTCGTACTTATATATGTAATCCTATCGTGGTACGAGGCGTGCATGGGGTTGTACGTGACAACGCGCATGATGACGTTCGTGCTGCTCACCACGATGTGCACCACATGCGCGCGCCACACATGCCTCCCCTCCCCTCCCCGCGGCCCCCTGCCCTGCTGCAGCCCCGCGTGTGAACGCGGTAGCTCGTCGGGCTCGCCTCGCGCGCCGAAGTCCCTCCCCGCGCTGCGAAACGGCGGCTGAGGAGGAGGAGGAGGAGGAGGAGTGGTGTCGCACGCGACTGCCTTCTGGGCGCTGCCCGAAAGAGTCGCCACACCGAGCGCGCTTCGCTGAGCCACCGCCACGGACGTTGTGCAGCAGGCACCCCGGCCTTCGCCGCCGCCGCAGGCCCTGGCAGGGGCGGGCACGCGTGTCGCCGGTTTCGGGCACGGGAAGAGGATCAGCGGACACGGAAGACTCGAAGTGGTGTTGCGAGATGCCCAGACCTCCAACGCACTGAAAAAATCGAGTCGGAGGTGTTTCTCGATCTTCGGCCTGTAGCCACCCCGAGCGTCAAACATAGACTCAGGATGAAAAACTGGTGCTGGGAAATGGGTCGAGACTTCGGGGACCCCGCATTGAACAAATCACGACATCGAATCTCTGGGTAAGGACGGACACACGCCAAATTTCGCACTCCAAAGGGAGGGGGTCACAGCCCTCCCAGACGAGCAGTCTTGGACCCTGGGAGCAGCGATGCGAGCAGGGACTTGTGCTCAGCGTGTCGTGGCGGCGGCCCCGGCGACACGCTATGCCCTGCGAGCGGGTAGCGTGTCGCTCCGCTCCGCGGGGCGGGAGGCTGAGAACAGCTCGGGACGTTGATGCCTGGGAATGGGAGAAAGGATAACGCGCCGGGCCCAAAGCGTGGCGGCGGAGCGACACGCTAAGCCAAAGTCTCTGACGGTAGGCACGAGAATAAGAAAATACTCGCACGCACAAGAAAAAACACAGAGCGCCGCGAAGGATCGGGCCTTCGGTGGTGTCGGAGAGCGCCACACCGACCAGGAGCGTGAACGGGTGCTTGCGGCCCTGCCTTAGGCCGTCCGTGTGCCAGTCGCACCCCGTCACCTGCAGCGCACCAAGAGGCAGAGCGAGACCACCAGTAGAACAAACAAGAGTAAGACTTGCGCGAGCCGATGCTCGATGCTGCTCCCTTGCGTTTCCTCCTCACCCTCTTCACTCTCCTCCTCCTCCTCCTCCTTCTCCTCCTCCTCTCCTTCCTCCTCCTCCTCCTCCTCCTCCTCCTCCTCCTCCTCCTCCTCCTCCTCCTCCTCCTCCTCCTCTGCCTACGCCATTCCCCAAACAGTGTTTGCACTGAGGGGGTCTAACTCCTGTTCGAAGGAAACGGGCCCTGTCTTAGGTCTGGCGGCTGGGTGGTCGCCGTCGCTGCCCCGTCGCCACCTCGTCGCCGCCCGTCGTCTGGGCCGTGTCGTCGGTCTGGCGGCTATGTGGCCAGCGTCGCCGCCCCGTCGCTGCCTCGTCGCCGCCTGTCGTCTTCACCTGTCTGTCGGTCACAGGGTCTGTTGCCGCCTTCCCCGCCCCACCATGATTACACAACATATGTTGTACGACATTTGTTGGGCAACCTATATTTTAAGGCATAGTTCGCGACATATGAGTTACGCACCCCAAAAATCTCAAACCACTTATTTCACCACACTGATTTGTTTTTAATTAGGATCTACCCCCCCCACACACCACCCGGGTATCCACGGCTCCCCTTTTCGTATTGCATTGTGCAAATGATTCTGCCCCATCGTCCATCCGAAGTATGAATTCATACCACCCCAAGCAGGCTGGTATCGCGCCCCCCCGTTCATCCGATGGGAAAAATATGCGCGCACTCGCTTCTTACCAATATCATCAATGTTTCAACAACCTTTGCAACAACATGACAAAGTGCACACTCGCGCGTCGTCGCGCGCGCATGCTGGAATCCTTCAAAATCTTAGGTGTCGAGAAGATGTCAAAATCGTGCGCCCCGAAAGCGTACGTTGTTAAATACATGGTTGTTTCAACATTAATGTTATGAAAAGTTCGCGCCCGGCATATTGCGAATTCTCCATTCAACAATAAGTTGTTTCAAACTGTTCGCTAGTTGCTACCAAGCGGGCCTCTCGCGCGCGCATATCAAAATCGTTCGAACGCCCTTGCTCGCGTGCTGTCACCAGAACCCGTTTGCAACAAATGAAACGAAGTGCACACGCGCGCGCCGCCGCGCGCGCATGCCAAAATCCTTCAACGACCCCACGGTTCGGAAGGAATTCAAAATCGAAATTCCCGAAAACATATAAACAAACACATGGACATGCAACATCAATTTTCAAATGTGCACGCGCTCGCACTCCCGCGAATTCTTGATACGACCATCGGTTTCTCATGTGTACTAAATTCTGCCAAACAGGCCCCTCGCGCCGCGCGCCGAAATCATTGGAACGCACTTGCGTGCGCGCGCTGGGGGGGGGGCACGATCCGTGTCAAATAAAACCATGCGGGCCACCCTCGCGCGCCGGCCGAGCGCGCATGTCGACCTCCCTCCTCAACCTTAATCACCGACGCGAAATCGCAGTCATCGTCGTCGGCGCGATCAGCATCCGCGCGGTCACTGGCCTTGCCGTCGTCGTTGTCCTCATCATCATCACCAGCATCGCTACCATCATCATCGCGCCTGCCGTTGTCGACGTTGCCATGATACCCCGACTCGCACTGAGGTGCACGCTGGGGAATGCCCAGCGGTCAACGCCACCGCGGCCACGTCGGTCGCGCCACACCAGCTGGCCGCTGAGCGCGCGAGCATGCGCGGGCAAGCACGGCCGCAGAGATGCACCAGCCAACTCCAAGCACTCATCGCAATCGCCGCCGAATGTGTGTTGCAAAAAAAAATGCGGGTGGGTGGGTGGAATGCCTGCGCGAGCAGTGGGGCTGACAACTTCAACTTCGGCAGGGCGAATTGCACCGTACAGACTGTTCCATATGTTGCACAACATATGATGACCTTCCTATATCGAAGCATTTGTACTGCCAACACAGGTTGCACAACATATACTGCACACAATAGATTGCAAAACATCGATTGCACCACATGGGCGGTTCCACATAGATGGCACAACCTGTATTGCTAGAGCCACACTGCTTAAAGGGGCCCACGCGGCCTGACATTCCTTATAGATAACTCCTCCCTGTCGCTCCTCCCTGTCGCACCCTCAGACGCGTCAGTAGGGCGGGCCAGACATTTCGCCGGAGATCTCCCCACCATTGATGAACCCGAAGTTTCACAATTGCAACAGATTCAAGGATGGACGGTGGGTCGCTTTCAAAATGCGGCTCTCATTTTAGCGCCGAGCGCATTGGTCTCAAATTGAGGACGGGCTGCTTTCAAGATGCGGCTGTCGCTTTAGCGCCGCGCACATGCGTGTTTGCAACAGCTTGATGCATTGAGGGCTGCTCCTTTTCAAAATGTGGTTCTCGCCGTAGCGCCGCGCACATTCGCCTCAAAGTTCGCAACCGTTGCATGGGTTCGTATGATAGGAATGGTGTTCTGGCGCGGCTTAGGATTGCCAGGACGCTAGAGTCACGTTGATTCGCGGTGTTGATGTCCCTGGAACGGTCTTCTGGCACGATCTAGGCTTGCCAAGACGCAGCAAATTACGTTGACTCGCGGCGATGTAGTCCCAGGAATGGCGTTTAGGCACGATTCAGACTTCTCATTCAAATTCATTACTATGGGGCACTTTCCGCAAACAAAATTCGCCGGCCCAACAGGCCAGAGGCGTGCTAAAATCTCCGGCTAGAGTTCAAGAAAGTTACTAGTTCGCACGCGCGTGGCGGTCTCTGGGGGTCCCCAGACGACAAGTACCCCGGCAAGGGCCCGGCAAGGTCCCAGCAAGTTCCCAGTGGCACGCCCCACGGCCTCAGGCCGTTCCAACATGGCCCACGCTGGTCCAAAGACGGTCCACGAAGCGCTCCAGGAGGGTCCCAAGAGGACTTCGAGAAGGCCCGAAGACGCAAAAAACACGTATCACGTATTTCACGCAGGTTTTCGGACGATTTGGGCGGTACCGCCTTTTCGAGCTGCCAGCCGCCCTGGACCCCACGATCGCTCCAAGACGGCCCAAAAAGCCTCCGAGAGGGTCCCTTAAGAATGGCCCAAGATGGCCCTAAGACGGTCCAAGAGGCCTGCAAGACGGCCCAAGGATGGCCCCAAGAGGGGGCCCCAAGAGGGAACCCGAACAGACATTTCGAGCTCTCGGCTCCAAGAGGCGCACAGGAAGCCCCCCAAGAGCCCCCCAAGAGCCCCCCAAGAGGCCCCCCAAGAGGCCCAAAAAAGGGCTGCCAAAACCCCCAACAGGCCCCCAGGAAGCCCTAAGAGGCTTCCCAGAGGCCTCAAAACTTCTCCCCAGATGCTCCCGAGAGCCCTCCGAAGAGACCCCAAGAAGCATCCACGAGGTCTCTGACTCACAACCCATGTACGTCTCGAAATTATGCTGGAGCTCTATTGAGCCATTTTGGCGCCATCTGGAGCAGTCTATGGGCTCTCTTCGATATGGTGCGGGCCACATCTCCAAAGAGATCCTCGAGGACAGTCTTGCCTGCCCTATCGTCCCCCATGGGTACGAGCACACCATCATGCAGCCACTGTGATGCGAAACGGGCAAGCGGAATGTGCGAAGCGAAGCGATGCGCTGCACCACCGGGCACGGCGTGTGAGATCCCCGCCGCACGGTCTGCACGAATTCTTTCCCCTCAGTCCCTTGCCCACGCACTCCTCGTACCCTTAGGTCCGGCATGTCCCCCTACAGTTGGATTCTGAAATGAAAAATTAAAGATAAACTTAAAATCCTCCACTGACTATTTGTGAATTATTTTTGAACATTCGCCCTGTAGAGGGACAGGCCTGACTCAATCGTGCCCATGCTCTTTCTCGGAGCCCTGGCAACCCCTCCTGGGGTCCTCCCCGTGGCCTGCTCATTCCGCCGGCCCAGGTGCCTGGGCTGCGGCCGGGGCGCCTTCTTGCCACCACTGCCGTCCCAAAACGACGCTCCTTTCACGTGCTCGGCTTCCGAGCGCCACCAGCCCTCTCAGACACCTCTCCAGGGGCCTACTGGGCCGGTTGGGGGGGCCTCTCGGGGCTCTTTCTGGGCTGACCTTGACCGCCCTTAGGGCCACCAACGGCCGTCCCGGATGCCTCTCCACCTCTCTTCGAGTCTCATACACCAGAAACCCCCAACACGCAAAAACGCTGTAAAACTGTAAAACACACCGGAATATTACGATTCTGTCCTTATCGGACTGTTCCTGGCGCCTCTCTTGGAGCTCCCGTGTTTCTCCGCGGGCTCTTGCGGCCATCTTGCAACATGCGGATGCTCTCTGCGGTCGCCCTGACAGCCTTTCGGGCCCCCCCACGACAGTCTGGACTCCTTTTTGGTGGTGTCGTGAGCGGTCTTGGGCGCGCCCAGGGGGATCCCTGGAATCCCGTCTGAGGCCCCAAAACTAACTGGCGATGCTTTTGTCTGCCTCTACGTATCCCTCTTCGGTGTCGTCAGTAATGTTCCATACCTTTGGGTGCCCTTGTGGCCTGCTTTTGTAGCCTCTTGGAGCCATCTTCAGCAGCTTTCTGGTGTCTTTGCAAGCCCTCTGGGCCCATGTTTCACCTCCCTCTCGCCCTCTGGAATCATTCCAACTGCCAGTCTGGTCGCATTCAGAGAAGCCCTCTGAGGCCATCTTACACCCCCTCTCGCCCTCTGGGATCATTTCAATTGTCCTCCTGTTCCTCCACCCACCCTCCCAAGGTCTCCACTGCCCTCCACAAAATCCACGATTCAAAACATGATCGACCCACGAGCCCGGAAAGGAATACAGAAATGTAAGTCATGGCAAAGTTTCAAAGACACTTGATTGGGCGACGGGCAAATGCAGTGCTGAATGTACAGATCTTGATGTACTGTGCCGAGGGCTGTGCTGTGCTGGCCGTGCTGAACTGCGATGTTCCATGCCGCGATTGTGCTCTATATAGCGTTGTGGATCGAGTCCTCCCTGGCATCCGAGTCCTGACCGAACTGATCTGGATC